AAATTCAGATTGAAATGGGTTTTTATATGGACAAAAAAGGTGTTTTAGCCAAAAAAGAAAAATTCAATAAAATTAAAACTGGCGGAAAAATGCGTTCCTTCAATTTCATTGTTTTGACGAGCGCCTGATTTTTCTACGGTGCCTTACAAATATAACACACACACACGCACGTACACACACACACACACAAGTACATAGCCAACATTATACATGTATCCAGTCAAGAAAATTTCCGTGTGGCACTGGAGTCTTGTGTGACTTATGTATTTCAGTCTGTTCTTACTTGTTATATATTCCTTATTTATATTTTCTCCTCATCATTGTATACATAATATATAAACTATATTATAAAAATGAATCCTGCTTTGAGCCTGTGGAAGGGCCTAGATGCAGAAAACCGACAGTGATGTCATGATTCATATTTTAAACGTGAAAGACAAAAATTATTGCTCAAACTCAAAGTAGAGTAAAAACTTGAATGGCTCAAGTACACCTATTCAGTGCGAGAGTTGTAAGAACTGAGTGAGAGAGGTCAAGATGCGGTGACACTGAAAATCTGCCAATCTTGAACAGAAAGCTAAATTAACATAGTTACTATTCTTTTCTTTTCCTCTGTTGATTCTCTGTCTGTTGGGCCTTTTCCTTGCACTAAATAACATAAATGACCATGGCATAACTGCGACAATGTGCTTTTCAATACTCGGACAGACAGACAGTTGAAAGTAACTCTCGACGTCAGTATATATCAATTTTAAGAATACATGTACCATGCCATAACTAGAAAAATCCAACTACATTTGATCAATCAATATAAAAATTAGGTAGTCAAACCTGCTTGAACGGCCACCTGTCCAAGACAATCATCTGTACAAATGACCCCTTTCCACTTCCACTGGGTTTTTTTTTTAAAGTATTTTTCTCTCACAACAGGTTCCCCTGCCAAAGTAACTGTATGCTCTACCAAACGACTTTCTTCGCTCGAAAAACGAGTTCTGTTTACTGCTTTCACTATAAATTGTCCCTTGCCAAAAAAGAGGTTCAAAAGTAAGCAAACGCTTTAACAGAAACTGCGAGTCGGATATATAATGATAATATATATCTTCGTTTCTATTTTCTCTATTATAATGAAGCCCACCTGTGTAAAACAACAACTTTTCTCCTCTAGAATGTATAGTATGACCATCTTGGACTTTCTACTGTAAGTTTGAGCTGTACACATGTCAGAAAGTAAATCTATCAATTAAGTGAGTGGCCCCTTAACAGAGTTCAAGTTCAAGCGATTTTGATCCTTCTGTAGAATTTAGCATTTCTTTGTTAAGTGTTTTACGGCGCTCGCAACTGCATAAGGTCATATAAGCGCGCGGGACACATTAAACATTTTTCAGTTGGTAGGACATTTTGAATTTTGCATGGGTGGCAGCCGAAGCCTACTTTTAGCGATTTTAGACCACCAAGGGATCTTTAAAACTGGCACACAGGACCTCCGAGATTTTTCGCCCTTGTTCAGGAAGGCTCTAGACAGCCACCGTTTTTTATAATTATTTTAAATAAATTTTTCACTACTTGCTTAAGTTAAAATTATTAAATGTGTCATGACGTGGTGGAATCAGGCGCTTGTCAAAATAACGAAATTGGAGAAAAAGACATTTGTTCGCCAGCTAGGAAGATTTTATCGAATTTTTGTTTTTTGGCTCAACCCCTTCAATGTCCATATTACGTATATAAAAATACAGTTCCATGTGAATATAACTGAAAAACATTGATTAAAGGTACAAAATACATGTATGTCATTTTTTAGTTTTGAAGGACTCTTTACCAAACTTTGGCGCCGATTTTCTAGCTAATTTCACCACTGAAACCAGGCAACCTCATTTCTTTCAATCGAAAATATTTTGACTTCTACTCAAGGTCGATGGATATTTATTTCATTAGAAGCAAGGCAAATAAAACAGCTTTTAGATGATACCAATAGCTTCAAATACCCAAAAGTTGACGAGCGCCTGATCCCACTGCGTCATACCACAAATGTGGATAATTCTATGTCCATATATGGACATAGGTTAGATCATTTAGGAGTGAGAATTATGACCCTGCACTTGCAACACAAAAAGGTCATCATATAAGAGCTGAAGATTAGGTGTTGCCAAAGAGTAACAGATACAATAAAAAGGAGGAGAATGAGGACGACAGATGTTTGACAGGAAAGACAGGGCAACCACACCAGAACATCTGCCAACCACCCATAAGACACCCTCAGTTTTAGTTTTAGTAAAAGTTTTACGGAACTTGCAAAACAATAAGGTCATATATGTGTGCCAAAGAATAGATGTGCTGCAAGAGAGTAACATACACAAAAGAGAAGGAGGAGAGATAAAGACGATAGATGTTTGATAAGAAAGAAGGAGCAAACTACACCAGAACATCTGCCAACCACCCACAAGATACCCTCAACAACAGGAACTGAAAAGTAATAAAATTATTTAACAAACACCATTTTAACAAATTGGAACATTTATTTACAGTAAAAATCCATTCTGCAAACAACAATAATATATTGGTATATTATCTACAGTGGAGGAAACTGGTCGGCATAGTACCGTTGTTTGACGATTGTTGCTTTATGATCATAAACGCCAACACATGGACAAAATTATCTTTATCTGTCTAAACTCGTCATTTTTCAAGCCACATTATATTAGTTTACAAGAAATTAAATGGAAGGCAGGGAACGAATTAACGGGACAGACAAAAATTACAAGCTATGACTACAACAACCACATTATTGTTGGTTGGCTGAATGCACAGTTTCAATTTTGCAAGAAAACACATTTCGAACATTTATGTGGACAGTTCAACTCTTGCCTGATAACACTTTGAAAAAAAACCAAACACCCTCTGATGTCAAACATTCTCATCCATTAGTACAATAATGAACGAACAAGAGTCAACACGAAGGCAGTCAGTCACATTTGCCAGAAATCGATAAGAACGACAGAATACAGAAACTAAGTTGCAGATGAAAAACAGATCAAAATATCTGTCAATATTTATGCAGTTTTTTGAACACATGCGCTAGGACCAAACAGAATTTTGACAAAAACAAACCCCGGAAAAGCTGTCCTATTTGTAACACGTTGCCAACAGAAAGTGTTGAGCAGCGAGAAAACAATCTAGACTCGAGAGTCGACTACGGATGAGCTGATGTCGTCAGGCCAGTGAAAAAAAGATCAACTCATCCTTTTTTAGTTTTAGTAGAGGTTTTACGGCGCTCGCAACTGCATAAGGTCATATGACTGCCAGAAGATTAGAGGCGTTACAAGAGAGTAACAAACATAAAAAAGAAGAAGGGGGAGATAAGGATGTTTGATGGGAAAGAAGAAGCAAACCACACCAGAGCACCCACCAACCACCCAATCAATTCATCCGAAGTTCAACGTAACCGTTGGGATCTGTAAAGAAGACGAGCTGGGACCCGAGAAAAAGACAAATTTAACGGAAGATCAACACAAGAGGAGTCGACTGTATATTTACTAAATGTGGGTGTCCATGCAAGCTGTTTCTGCAGGCATGGGGAGACTATAGCTTTAGTAAGAGTTTTACGGCACTTGCAACACAAAAAGGTCATATAAGTGCCAAAGAATTGATTATGTTACAAAAGAGTAGCATACACAAAAAAGGAGGGGAGATAAGGATGACAGATGTTTGATTGGACAGAAGGAGCAAACCACAACAGAGCACCCGCCAACCACCTAGGGGGAGACTACTATATTTAACCCATCAGTAGGATCTAGAGCAGTGTCTATGGTTAGGATTCAGGCTCAGGGATCCAATCCCTCACACCTCCTCACTTGAAAAAGATTAATCAAAAGGAAATTTCAATATTTAGCTGATTTAGGAAAGCCAAAATTACTTATGACAACTAAGTGAAGTGTAGCTTCTTCTTAATAGCATCAATTTTTTTCCCCCCGAAGTCACCTAGGAAGTCTGAGACTGAAAGAGATGACTTGTTGTATGTGGCACAAGTGCATAAGTACAGAAAGAGGGGAAAAGTGAGACTCTTGCCACTGTCATGGGAGCAAGTATGCAAAAAAATTTAATTACAGAAGTTTTATGCCTCTATCAACACCACGCAAAGGCGAGGTCTAACCGCTTCACCACAGACACTGGGGAGAGAGTGCAACATTACAAACTCATGTATTTAATCTTCATAGCCTGCACAGGACACCTACACATCAACAAGCACATAAACAGAATGAACCCCATGTAGGAACCCCATTGCAGACACTGTGACTACCATGAGGAGACAGTTGAACATCTTCTCCTTCACTGCCCAAACCTGGCAGTTCTTCGACGCAGGCTCCTATACACATCTACAGACTTACAAAGCCTGCTCTACTCTAGCGTTGACAAGATGACAAGGACATGTGGTTTCTTGAGGGAGGCACTGCGCTGCCAAGAGCAAAATGCTTGCAGCTAAAGGGATTTGAAAACAAAAACAACGACATACTCATACTCCAGTACAGAAAGAAGTCAAAAGAGAGTGGCTGTTGGTAGGCAGTCCAACACAAATACAGCTGTAACATGGTGTAGTGAGACAGCCCACTTTGTGTCAAACACACCAGCACATTAGAAATGCCCAAACACAGCAGGAGCACACCATACCAGTGTGGTACAGACAGTAATTTACGTAAGGAAAAAAAAAAAGCCACATTACACCAAGGACACAAAAAATATATAAGAAGAGATTCCTGGCAAAAGGAACAAGAACTTCAGCAAAACCCCTCAGAGAGTAGCAACTTGATAATGAAACAAGAAGTATTTTTGGTGTGTAACTCCAGTCAAAATACTTGCACAGCTAACTCAAATTTAAAAAAAAAAAAAAAAAACTGACAGGAAAGAACAAAAAACAAACCCAGCCCACATCCCCAAACACAGATCCAAAACAAACAATACTCCCAGCAAATCCTTATATCCTTTTAAATGAACAAGACACAAGGCCATTTCAGAATATTATTACACTTGTATTCAAAGAGCCAAAAACTACAGTCAAATGTCATCAGAATTCAACTTGGGGGTTGTTTTCAATGACCATGCAAACATTAAAAAAAAGACATACAAATAAATCACTTTCACACCCAGCACAACTTCAAAAACATCATTGACATAGCAAATATAAGAAATGTTTTCACTCCCAGCAACAGGCTTCAGTGTCTTGCTGTAATTCTAAGAGCAGGGAGTACTGCGGCCGTGCCATCGCAACACACATGTGCGGTAAAACACCGTAATGATGGGATGATCTTACCACGTAACTGGCTTCTCACAAAAAAAGAATGAACCCCCCCCCCCCCCCCCCCAAACAAAAACAAACTTTATTCCATGAAAGAAGATATGAAAGTTAGCCAGTTAGCCCATAGTACTCCTATAATACAGCAGAGTACCCTTAAACCGAAATCTGTGAGACGCCAGATTTTTTAAAGTTAAACCAAGTTTTTTTTGGGGGGGTGCGGAGAGGTTGCTCAAATAGAAGAGGACAAGAGAAAAAAATTGCAAATTTTATTTTCTTTCGTTTTACCGCTGTTTTTGGATAACCCGTGTCCTTTGTATTGTATTTATATTCCATGCTGACTCTCGACTTTCAGTGAGGAGCCACAGATCAATCCCAACAATGGTTTTAGATTTTTAAAAACTCGATCTATTTCTTCCAGTCACAGAGTTAGAGAGCACAACACCATCAACGGACGAGACCAGACTGACGAACGCGAGTCAACTACAGCCATTCTGATATCATCATACTCCACACGTACTGTAAACCATCCGTAAAACCAGTCTAGTGAAAGTGGATTAGCTAAAGCATTCCTGATAATGATCTTAAAGTCCACACGTTCTGTAAACCATCAGTCGTAAATCCAGTCTAGTGAATGCGGGTCAGCGAAAGCCATCCTAATATTATAGTAAACACGTACTGTAAACCATAATATGTAAATCCAGTCTACTGAATGCGGGTTGTCCTGATATTATAGCCCACACGTACTGTAAACCATCAGTCGTAAATCAAGTCTAGTGAATGCGGGTCAGCTCCTCGATTGTCTTGACCAGGTCGTCCACCGTGGCATCCCGCTTCATGTCACCGTCATCCATCTGGGGACAAAGTGAGGTATACACGTCAGAGGCTGGCAACATTGTCCAGGCAGGTAGCCGTTTTTTTGTTGTTTTCTTTTTGGTAAGTGTTTTACGGCGCTCGCAACTGCATAAAGTCATATGAGCGCGCGGGACACATTAAACATTTTCAGTTGGTAGGAAATTTTGAATTTTGCCCAGGCGGTTGCCAAAGTCAATTTTAGACCATCAAGGGATCTTTAACGTGCGCAACTTGCACACGGGATCTCAGAGATTTTTCGCCCTCATGTAGCTGTATTTCTAAGAATAACAATCAAATCCGTCAAAAAAACAAACAAACAAACAACCTATTAACGAGGAGAAAAGTGATTATCTTGAACAGGTGGAGTCTTGGACAATGACATTATAAAATTTAAACACACAGGGAGGGAAATGGGAAATGGTTGTACAGGCCGTTGTCTTACACAGTTGACCATTAGACTAGAGCAGGTTTGACTTTAGTCTTAGCAAGAGTTTTTTTTACGGTACTTGCAACACAATAAGGTCATATAAATGCCGAAGATTAGGAGTTGCAAAGAGTGGGTGCGGAAGAAGGTTGCTGGACTCTTCAGCTAAAGGAACTGGTCTGACTTACTCCTCATAATCATACATAAACATGGTCGACTGCCATGTAGACTTCTTATTCTTCTGCATCGCACTACACTTAAACTCACTTGAGCCTGAGCTATTTTTCACCCAATAACCATTGCAGCCCGACACTTTTGAGGTATATTAAATCTTTGGCAAGAAAAGACGATGAAAGCTATTGTAATAAAAAAATCCAACAAAAGAAAGAAAGAAATGCTCTCACAGAAAAAGAAAACTGCATCTAATTTTTTTTTTTTTTTTGGTGCCCAATTTATAATAAAAGCATCTATCGCAATGCCGGGGGAGACCGACTTAGTCTGTTAGAGCAAAAAAATGTATCGCACATGACTTCACCAAATTTGAAACAAAACAAAACAAGTGGGTCAACTGTTGGCTCGCTGCTTCCCTTAGCTTGTAACCGAAAAACATCAGAGATATCGATAGATATAGAGCATCCCTTAAATACACAGGATTAAGCCACCGGCACGTCCCGTATATACACGGGTATTGGCTCAAATGAGTAAAGTCTGGTATTTATCATATACTGGGCCACCCTGCTCCGTTCTTCTGTTGGACCCTATAGCTTCTCTTGTACCTAAACTTCTATCCTAAGATTTTTTTTCGCCACACCCCTGATCTCATGGTGGGAGAAGGAATGAAAAACACACATTATCAGAGAGGGACAAAAACCTTTGGATAGTCCAGTCGTGCAAAGACATGAGGTATTGTGTTACTTTTACCAGAAAGACAAAGGAAAAGTGTAGCAAGATTTTAAAGTCCACAAACACACACACATATCCTCCCTCCCTCTGGCCCCCCCACCCACCTGCAGCCCTTGCACAACCTCCTGCATCTTGTCTCTGGACAGGTCTAGGAAGCTCTCCAACAAGTCTCCGTCAATGAACCCGGTGGACGCGTCACGTTTCTGCTCCGTGTAGAATGACCGCCAGCTGGGACCGAGGTCAAGGAACTCATTCTCTAAAACTGAAGTTTAATAAATGTCTACGCAAGAGGCAGGAAACTAGGTAGATCCCAGGTGAACGATGAGGCAGAAAGGGGCAACAGTAAAAATTAATATATTGACACTCTTTTGAAAAACATTAATAATAATAATAATTTTAGTTTTTTTTTAAATTTTAATAATAATAATGATGATAATTGCATAGAAGGCGCATATATCAGTGCTCCACAGCAAGCTCTGTGCGCTTCACAACTATTATTACCCCAGCAAACCCAAGAGCCCTCGAAAACATTCTCAGCTTCCCTCAACAAGAGAACTTAAAGAGCTGGATAACAGGGAAACACCAGGATAATGTAGGAATTCGAGAGCACCCAAGTAGAGGAATGAGCAGCCAACCATGATCGCTGATGTCCGTTTCTTCACAGCTGGCACTTGACGAAGAAGGCAGGGAGCACAGAAGGTTTAGTTTTAGTACAAGTTTTACGGCCCTTGCAACACAATAAGATCACATAAGTGCCATAGATTAGAGGTGTAGCAAGAGAGTTAAAAACACAAAATAGAAGGAGAAACCACACAAGAGCACCCGCCGCCCACCCATGAGCACAGATGGCGCAGGCTGTGGGGCAGGGAGTGTGACCTGGACAAGATGTGGGACCTTCGTCCTAGAGACACAGCTCTAGAAATCTGTCCCCAGGGTTTTATGCACCCTGCATAATTCAACAAAATTTGATCATTTTTTGCATAATTTCTGATTATTTTCCTTTTTACATTCTTTGATCAGATTTACAGAATTGCATAATTTCACATTTTTCGGCTCAGTTCGCATAATTTCTTTTTTTCTTTTTTTTTTTTGGGCGTAAAACCGCAGGGACAGCTAGATCCCACTCTATCATAATTGAACTTGTTCAAGACGGCCGACCTTTGTTGGAGAGAAATGGGGTAAATCTTACACAGATGGACATCTTGGAGAGGGTAACTGTAATACAGAAAACGGAAGGGGGGGGGGGGGGGGGGAGAAGAGAGTAGGAAGTGGTCCCTTGCACATCTACGGGTGATTGTGTTGGATAGGTGGCGTTTGAGAGCAGGTGCAACTGAACTTTTTTCCCAATTCAAGTTTAACCCAATCCCACCTAGAAGGCCCTGTTCTAAAAATACCCCACCCCCTAACAAAAATGAACAACAATTTGTCAACAAAAGCAACCAAATATGACAGAAATATCAAACAAGCTGCAAAAGACAGACTTTTAAAACGTAATCAACGTGATTTCCACCATCAAGGATACAAGCTGTGCTGAACTTTGCCCACACTTTTGATGACTTTGCTCAGTCTGTTCTGGACCTCAAACAGGAAATTGTAGAACTCTTGAGGCAGCTGGGCAACCATGCCTGGAGAAACACAAACATGAAAGCAAAACATGGTGAGGATCTGGAGGTGGAAAACCCAACAGAATAATAAAAATGGGGGTGGGTGGGTGGAGGGCACATGATAAGGATATAAGACACTATTTTCTACAAGACTTTAAAGCGACAATTGTTAGAGTAAAGTAAAGCACTTAGCAGTTATTTAGCTGTCCCCTTCGTTTTATGCGAGAAAAATTCTGAAATTATGCAAACTGAGCCCAAAAATGTGAACTTACGCGACTCTGTTAATTTTAAATAAGAATTATAAAGGAAAATAATTAGAAATTATGCCAAAAATGATCAAATTTTGCTAAATTATGCGGGGTGCATAAAACCACGGGGACAGATTTAGTGCTGGGGAAAAGTCAGACAGACAGAAACAACAAAGGGAAAGAAAAGAAGTAGGACCTACCAGTGGTGCTCTCATACCACCCACTTAATGAAACAAGAAATTTCCCATCTTTAAAACAACTCTATTAGTACCTACCATCAGTAAAAACTCTACAAATTTGACCTCGATTCGATTTTAAAGAGATCTTTCTATCCACTGACAGCGAGAATTAACTCACTTTATCAGAATGCCTCATACTTACAGCAGGGCTGCCAACCCATCTCCATGGTTTTTAGTAATGACCAGGAAGAAAATTAGTAATTTCCCATAAAAATTAGTAATAGGGCTCTCACTTTCAAATTACTAAATTACAACGAACAAAAATGTCTTAATTACGGAAAAAGAGGGCTTATCGAAAATTAAATAAATGTGAAGGCCAAAGTTTTGCTTTACAAGTCTGCACTAAGACTTGTAAAATTAAAAAAAAGAGCCAAAAATATTTTTTATAGCCAAAAAATCTGCTGACGGTAAAAATTGTAATAAATTGCCTTGACGCTTAAAAATCGCTACGATTATGGAAAAAAATCGGAATGGTTGGCAGCCCTGTATACAGAAAGAAGCTCAATTCTTACCCACAGCTCCATTCGTGGTACCAAACAACACTGAACCCTGCACGGGGATGGTGTTTTCGCCGGCGTGGTGCATCACCAGGGAACCTAGATGAGAACGAAATGGGTACACTTCATCAACCAGAGCAATCACATAGTGCCGGTCACACGCTATCCTCACATGTCTAAAATTCGTTTCTTGTCAGTGACACAGAACAGATTTTAAACTCAGTGCACACTGCCCAGACGGGACATGGTCAGTTAGTTTTAGTAAAAGTTTTACGGCACTTGCAACACAATAAGGTCATATAAGTGTAGAAGATTAGAGGTGTTACAAGAGAGTAACAAACACGAAAAAAAAGGAGGGTAGATCAAGACGAATAATGTTTGATAGGAAAGAAGGAGCAAACCACACCAGAGCACCCGCCAACCACCCACAGACATGGTCAGAAACAACAAGATCAGAGAAATGGTGGGAACAACATCTGTCCTCCACTACATTCGAAGGCAAACAATCAGGTGGTTTGGACATCTCACACGTATAGTATCTCACTAGCTTGCCAGTAAAGCCTACTACAGGAATGTGTCAGGGTACAAGGCAAGAGGAAGACCAAGAAAGACCTGGATCCAGGGTGTGAAGGATACCCTGAGAACATACAATATCCCACCCAGCCAGGCCATCAAACTTGCTAGAGACAGGAAGCTTTCTCCCCTCGACGCCCAAGTAAAAAGTAAGGACACTGCCCATTTGATTCCTTTGAGACTAGCCAGATTTTCCTTCACTGGGAGGCAAAAGGCACAGAATGACCATATCGACTTCCGACCTTGAAAAACAAATTGTTTGATTTTGAAGGGTACAGCCGAGTTTAGTTGATTTCCATCGTTTTGTGCCAAAATGATAGCTTTTGCCCCTCCATGGAGGAAAAATCTGCCGGCCCCAACTGAATCAAACTGGTACTTACCACCAGGTATAATAACACTAATGTGTCTCAGAGAGAGACAATAATACATGCTCACAGTCAGTAGAACAGATAGTGACATACAGTGGATAGTGCTCAACATATATTACTTAATTTATATTGATAGTATGAAAATTACATTAAATCAGCTTTAACAAAGTGCAATAAAAAGGACTGAAATTGAAATACAAGAAATGATAAGTTTTTTAGACTCTTCAAATCTTCAAAACCGCAGCATGCTCATTATTTACATAAATCACTTCTCTGAACACTTTTTTTTTAACACTTTGCCATCATATTTTGGGTAAAAATCCAACGAACCTGGGTGGTAAACATCGCCAATCGGCGAGATGAGGCGGCAAAGTGGTAAACCATTTATATTTTGAGTTAAGTTCAAAATCAAGACTGCAACAGTTTGCCTTAAACAAGATAGAAACACTGAGTGATAAAAAAACTGTAAACTAATCAGCAGAAATAACAGACAACTCTGACAATAATGAATAGTGATAGTGAAATTACACAGACAGTTATGTATGTGGCTAGTAACACAAGTCTATTCACAGAAATAGTCCGAAAGTTAAAACATTTTTTGTACATCTCTTGCAAAATGGAGCCCTTTTAATTATAAAGACTGTACCCGAACTTCCGACTTTTTTTTTTTTTTTTTTTTTTTGGTGGGGGGGTTGCCACTGTTTGTTTGCCTGATTGTTGTGGATTTTTTAAGGGGGTGGGGGGGATTTTTTTTTTTTTTTTTTTTTGGTGGGAGGGGGTTGGGGGGATTTTTTTTTTTTTACAAGAGGCACTCACATGATCTATACCAGAATAAATATGTGCGCGAGTGAAGTACAACTATCAACAGAAAAAGGTCCTTGGGATCGGTACAAAGAAACACGAGACAACCGTCTCACCGTGTCTGAAGACATTGACAAATTCCCCGAGATGGTACAGCCCGACTTCCTGCATCTGAGACCTCTCCTCGTCCGTCGTGGCAGCACTGGAGAAACACACACAGCAAAGCCAACGGTGAAATAAAAGCCAATAACTGCATTCACTTCAGATCTCTTCATACTGGATTACAACAACAAAATTTCGACATATCCGTAAAAATCTACAAGGAAATCACCCAAAAAGCTGAGTACTCCCTTCGAAGTTCGTTGGAAATGAAATCCAGAAATGCTTGACTTAAGGGATTTGAGGAGGGCAGTTATGGGTTATAGCTTGGTGTCTCCAGATCAAAGGGTGTACTCCAGACATGAGCAAACCCGGGCCAGGCCTGAGGGAAAGCATGTTTCTATCTCGCCCACGAGCAGACCCAGTAGGCATAATTAATAACAAATGTAGCCTGTGATGAGTTGATAATTAATCAGAATAAAATAGTTCGTCTTGAAAATTTTAATCAATCGTTTTCTGCCTATCTGGAAGCAACTGATGTCATAGTTTACCTCATGAGATGACCTTGAGTGACAAATGCTATAGTGTCAATTTAATCTCACTTTTGAGAGCCTGGGTGTTTCCCACAGATTTCACCTAATTTTTTCCCTGCTTTCACTCCCAAAAATTCAGAATTGCGTAATCCTGCCCGCGACCTAGACACTCTTGCCCATGCCTGGTGTACTGCATAAAACTAGCTATTTTTAGCTTATATTCCACCTAACACAGACAAAACCTGTCACCAAAAAAAAAAAAATTGTATAACAATAATCACATGCAATGAGCAAACTGTGGCCAACATACCCCACCCCACTGTTCAGTCAAAATGACAAAAACTCACAAACTCACCTGTCTTTCTGGCAAACAAACAAGTTGTACGAGTTGTCCGCGCCAATAAAGTTGTCGTCGTCCAGGATCTCGATGGCCGTCATGAACTTGACGTTGCAGTCGCGGGCGATCTCCTCGAAGGCGTCCTGCATGTGCTTGTACCCCAGCAGCGTGATGGACTTCATGAGGTCGGCCACCAGCACAAAGTCGCCCTTCGACTTGAGGTACAGGGCCAGGATGTTGTTGAAGTGGCTGCACTCCAGGCGCAGTTCCTTCTCGCTGGTCCACTCAAATAGACGCACCTGTCGGGAGTCGGGGGGGGGGGGGGGGGGAGGAGAAGGAGGAAAAAAACACATAAGTTTGTTTTACTTTTTGTAAGTAGCTGCACTCTAGACGCACCTGAGGAGAGTCAGGGGAAAGGAAACACTTGAGTACGTTTTAGTTCTAGTAAGTGGCTGCACTCAAAGGTCCATTCAAACAGACGCACCTGAAATGAGTCCACGGGAAAGGAGAGAAACACGTCGTGAGTTCGTTTTAGTTCCAGTAAGTGGCAACACAAATGGCCACTTCCTATCCCCCGTTTGAGTTTGGTTTTTTTACATTATAATAACACTGTGTACGACAACAACTTTTTTCCTCTCGCAATACATGGCCGTCCTAGACAATTTCAACTGTATTGAGCAACTCACATTCAGTTTCAAACTAATTCGTCTTCTTCTTCTTCTTCTCGCACCTCTGCAAGAGCCCAGGAAGTTACCCGCCCGAAAAACATTCAAAATGTTCCAAGAACTTTGTTAGCAGAGAAAAACTTACAGTGCTGTTCACGCTGGCCAGGAGTTTGCCGTTGAAGGGCACCATGCTGTAGGCAGCGCCTTTGATTTCCTTCTCCGCAACCATTGTCAGTTTTCCTGCAATGACAAACAAAAGGATAAAACGTCTCACAGTCAAGTTAGTCTCAAGCGGTTTGACTGTATTTTAGTATAAGGCCCTCCCAGACACAAGCAGGGCACCGGTATCTTTGGTGTTGTAGTAAGACTCATTGATGTCGTGAGCAATGGATATGAGTTCAATTCTTGCATTGGGAAATTATCTTATTGGTGCCGTCCAAGCATACACTTACAATGAATCATAAACAGGGAAGTTCAAGAGAATTACGCAACCCCCATATTCCAACAAAACCTCTCCATTCATATAACTGATTACAAAGCTTTGGGTTGGGGAGGGGGCAGTGTGTATATTATAACTTTACTTCTACCCAGCATGATGCAAACTATGCTAATGAACGAAGCACACACAAACACTCTCATTAAACTACTCTGTATACTCATTCATCTTCACTGCATCAGAACACACAAACTTCTTTGTACATCCATTCACCTTCATCGTAACAGAATACACACAAACTCCCTCTTCAAACTCTTCTGTACATTCATTAACCTGCATTGTAATTAAACACACATACTCCCTCTTCAAATTCTTCAATACATTCACTCATCTTTCTTGTAAAGACACACACACACACACACACACATTCACTCACCTTCATTGTAATGACACACACACACACACACACCCTCTCCAAACCTCTCATTACATTTAATCACCTTCACTGTAATGGAACACACACACACACTCACACACATAAACACCCTCTCCCTCTCTCTCCAAACTCCTCACTACAACCACTCACCTTCATTGTAGTGGAACACACACACACACAAACCGCCTCTCCAAACCTCTCACTACAATCACTCACCTTCATTGTTATGGAACACACACACACACACACACACTCTCTCTCTCTCCAAACTCCTCACTACAATCACTCACCTTCATTGTAATCCCACACACACACACTCCCTCCCTCCCCAAACCTCTCACTACAACCACTCACCTTCATTGTAATGGAACACACACACACGCACACATTCACTCACCTTCATTGTAGTGGAACACAATGATGCGACCAGACTTTGGCTCCGCCTCCTCCGGGCTGACGATGGCGGTGCCCACGATGTAGTAGGGGGTCGGGTCCTCACCCAACGTGGCAGAGATCAGGCTGGTGGTGCACTCGCCAGGCAGGAGTGTGTGAGCGTGCAGAACTGGACGAAGGGAGAAAAGACAAAACTTAAGAGGTCAATCATCTCAGCCATGAGTAATAACACAGTTGCCTTGGTCGGTCTTTTTTTTTTTTTAAAGCTTTTGTTATTCTTATGAAAAAATTGTCTGTGAACCGTTTCATATCCTCAATTCTGAAGGG